TTTCATTAGGATGCCGTATTTAAATATACCTACAAGTATACAGTTATGATGATGAAATGCAGAAGGATTATCTATCAAATCCACGTTTGTATTCTACCCGCAAATCTAACCAACTTGTACACTTTTAAGCTGATATGTTTTAAAAAACTAAAGAAAATTCACATATAATAATAACGTGCCTATTTATAACTAATATTTAACTAATATTTGTAGAGTTGACTAAGTAAAGGAAATTACAAAGCATATTAATTGAATATTTTTGAGCATCAGTAACAAGTACGAGTATGTGAACACATACCATGCCATTTTAAACAACATTGATGATATTTAACATCTGAAATAACTTGCAAAGAATTCAATTCATTTAGTCATTTTCCATAAGGTTTTCACACATCCGAAATGTCACAGTCCATTTGAAAATTGCATAAATGCGCTAATGAAACACATGGACGCAAACAGCACGCCCGTGTTCCAGAGTAAAGTCCCCCCAGATAGATTCCAAAAATCATACAGCAAACCCATCCTGCGGCAAGTCCAATATGTGCTCTTATGACAACTCTGGCCCTGGCTATTTGCTGCCGTTGCCTTTTACAATTTGATTTCGTTTCGGTCTCATTTATGCTGCAGCCACAATTTTGCAGTTACAGTTGTGCGCGCACATATACACATGCGTCCACATACAAACAAATGTATCTGAAGAGTTGGAGCGTGGCTCGTTGATGCTGTGCGCCTGTGACTTTTGTGTCTGGTGTTTTGTGTGTGTGTGTGTGTGTGCTTGTGTGTGTGTGTGATGTAAGTGCTTAGGTATGGTGTATACGTATATATATATTTGCCATTTATGAAACCATTTAACAAACACATCATAAAAATTCAATTCAATTCTGTGTTTACGTCTACTCGGAACGATATTGCTTTTTAATTGCGGACACAAGCGGAAATTGCTTTCAGAAATACACATACAAACGTCATTATTACTTACACACAATTGCATAGGGGGAGTGCTTCCATTGACATTATGGTGAGAGTATGAAGTGGAAACGTTTCGGAAGTGCGTTGATTGCCAGATGCTAAAAGTCGACTAAGAAACTGCACTGACCTTTTTTTTTTTAGATGACCTCAAAAACTTTGACCTTTAAGTAAGCTTTTCATACTTTATTTTCTTTTTTAATTACGCCACTTGCGCCTTGCAGTTTATAATTGGAAACAGCTCCAGACCCAAGCTGCTTACACACACACACTCATGCATACGAACTCTGGCACTCGCATACTCATGTATGGGGAGAAACATGCAGGCGCGCTCTCATTTAATATGAAAGTCACAGAATGTGAGCTAATTGAAAACACTTGCAATATTTATGAGCAGCGCAGCATGTTGCGAAAGCACTTGACTGCTCAGCAGCAACATGTTGCCGAACTAATAAAACAACAAAATGATTTTATTATAATGGATTTATAACGCAAGCCAAGAGCAAACAGTCAGTATATATAAGCAGTGCGTAAGAGTGGAAAGGCAGTAGAAGACGGAGCGAGAGAGAAAGATTGCGAGTGAAAGAGAGAGCTAGCAAGAGAGAGTGTGTGAAAGAGAAAGAACGAAAGAGAGAGAGAGAGAGAGAGAGAGGCAGAGCGCGCGCAAAATGCACTTTGAATTGAGACGCGAACGCGGCAGTGGCAGTCCATTAAGCGCAATGTTGTTGTCATCATTTAATGCTTTTGTTGCTTATTGCGACTTGACAGCCGTTCATCTGTCCGCCTGTCGGGACTCTCGTTATATGTGTGAGGTTGCGTGTGTGTGTGTGTGTGTGTTTATGTGAACGAGAGCACATTTAGCTTTGCGTGTGCGCATTTGTATCTCATTGTTGGCTCGCAGCATAAATGGGGCCCCCACAGCGACGTTGGCAGCAACAGCAACAGTAATACAAACAACAACAAGAACAACAGCTATGTCGGCGTCAGCGTCGGCTTGGCTTAAGTGGAGATATTTATAATAAGTTTATTTGCTTGTACTTTTCGTAGCGCCTTGCGTTGGGCCCCGCATGTTGCAAAGGCCATCCTTGACACGCAACATGTTGCCATTGCCACGTTGCCCATCCATGGCTGCCAATGTTGCCTGGCTCGTTTGGCGCTGTTGGGCATTCACATTCACAATCACATTCGCAGTTGTAAATTGACGTTTTGCGTTAACGACCATCGCAGTCGTTCCGGCTGTATTTTGAGCTCGTCCTCGTCATCGTCGTCGTATTTATTGCATAAAGTAAGCCAATAATAATCCAAGTAAAATTCGTGCGCTGCTTTGACTCCAACTACCGACAATCGTCAAAGGCACAACACAATTTGTTTTGCATGCAGTTAAATATGCTTCTTCTTGCCACTTGCGGCACTCAGTGAGTCTTGTGTATGTGAATGTGTGTGTGTGTGTGTGTTTGTGTGCCCCAAGTGCATCTAAATTGCTTCATCTTGTGCATCTTCAGCTACAACATCAACATCATAACTAGGGGTATACATATATCTACATATTTTTATTTTCTGTACTTTTTAGTTGCTATTTCCAGAGAGCTCCAGCTTGTTTTCATTTATTATTTATTTGCATGCCCTTCGCCATGGCCCGACTTAATTCTATTAGAATGAGAGCTGCTGTTGTTGTTGTATTGTTATTTTTATGGAGACTGCTAATGATGTTTCCGCCAAAAGTCGTTGTTGTTTCTTTGTATTTTTCTCTTTTCTCTCTGTTGTTGATCATTTAGCCAGGGTTCATAGAGTTCATCTAGTCAGCAAAACCCTTTTATATCATTAAGCGACTATATTTTCCGATTTTCCTATTTGTATATCTTTTCGGTATTATACAAAATAAACAGTATTATAAATACTAACCAATATGTATACTATCATTACTATTATTATTATTATTATTATTATTATTATTATTATTATTTTTATTATTATTATTTTTATTATTATTATTATTAATATTATTATTATGAATATTATTATTATTATTATTATTATTATTATTATTAGTATTTTTATTGTGGACTCAAATGCCTGACTCTATTGTGTCTCTCTCTGGTAAACGAAAAGAGCAGATTTTTGTCCAGTCCTATTAAGACTACATGGATTTTTCCTGACTTTTAAACTCTCATCAAGGTATGACCGCACAGCTGACAGAGTATCAGTCTACTTATAGCTGCCCTTAAGATTTATTGCTTTTCAAGACAAGCAGCTGCTTGTGAATTTTGCGATGACCCGTGATAATTCAAAGTGAGTTGTTGCGCCTGCTGAGGAAGTGGTCCTTTCCCCCGGTCCCCGGGAGATTAATATAGATATTTATCTTAATACTAGTTATTTAAGTATTATTTACTGATCATGTAAAAAAGAGTATTTGAAATGCGTCTAAGTCAAGTTTCGCCTCGTTTGTTGCTTGTTAAATTTACGATGACTAATCGGTCTTATCGATAGCATAACGCCTATTAATAAACGCAGCACACAGAACACTTGCGCCCTTATAGCTAATTGAGCCCGCGCATATGTACATATATTTGTACGCTTATAGTACATAAATATTGTGTATACTTATAACAAACTGCTTAGCTGACTAATTTGCCCAAGCGCTGTGAATTACGACATTAAAATACAATGAAAGCATTTGTTGGCCCACGACCCGGCGCAGAGTTCTCAGGAAATGAAATTATACACCAATTATTGCACAAATAGCAGCAAAAACAGCAGCAGCTAAACCAATAATAACAGCAACAACAACAAAGCAATTATACAAAATATATATATACATATCATTTGAAAAAAATGAGAAATCTATGAAAGGGTCTCCTAGCATGAGAGCAGTATGGAATCGAATAGGCATCGATATAATTAATCAAATTATAAATCTGAGTGAACAATTAAGAAAACGAAAGACAAAAGCAGCCAAGTAGAAGGCAGCAGGCACTAGGCACCAGGCACCGGGCACAAACAATAAAAAGCAATCGAAAGCTGTTGGCTCAGCATTAATTAGCGCTAAACGTCGTCGTCGTCGTGGTCGGCGTCAACGTCGACGTCAACGTCAACGCCGACGCGACAGCGACAAAGTGAATTGCTTCAAGCGAACGCCCCAAAGCAGCACCCGTTGCGACAGCAGCATCAACAGCAACATCACCAATCCAATCCAAACGCAGCATCCGCCGCCAACTTATTAAAGTACATATAACTCAATTATAGAGAATTAAAAACAAACTCACAGCAAGCCAGCGAGCGATGCCAACGATGCCAGCAGTCGGCAATTTGCAATGCAAAAAGATACTGGCGGGAGTGCTGAAGCTGCCTCAATGCACAGCCGGCAACAACAGCAACAGCAAAAGCAACAGCAACAGAAACAGCAACAACAATCAAAGCAATAAAATACATTCAGCATTTAATAATCGGCCAACAAGCGACGCAGACGTCGCTGCCAGCGCAACAGACTGCGCTGCCAGTGAGGAACGACAATAAGATACAAATGCCCAGCCGCTCACAGCAATGGCAACAGCAACATGTTGCTGACGGCAACAGCAGCAACATCCACAGCGGCCAGCAATAAATTTATGAGTTCACACACTGACAACAACAGCAATAGCAACGGCAATAACAACAACAATAGCTACAGATACAATTAAGCCGTAATGCATATGAAAATTTGTGTATTTGTGTGTTTTATAGCCGTGCGTTATGTTCACGTGCGCCGCGACTCTTTGTATCTCCCGCTATGTATCTGACAGAGCGTGTTCGTATTTGTCTACATGTGTGTATGTGTGCGTATGAGAGCGCAGCATAATTGTAATTATAGTAATATGCTTTATGATGGTTGCCTCGTTTAGCAACCCCCACACAAAATCCCCACACATACAGCCAAATAGACAGACCGACAGACAGACAGAAGAGCGCGTCGCGCCAGCAGCGACAGCAGCAGCGACGCCGGCGCTGCGCTTGGCCAAAATGTATCTAGATACATAATTGCCACATTCAGTCGTCGTTAAATAGTTGCACGGCGCAGTTCACAGCCACAGCAGCAGCAGCAGCAACAGTTTCCAGTCGTCATCGGTCGTTGGCTGTTGGTTGTTGTCGTTGCCATCGTTGTTGTCGTCGTCGTCGTCGTTGTCGTCGTCGTCGCAGCCGCCTTCGCCGTTGTCGTCGGCGTCGTTTTCGTGCTTTATAGCATTCACTCAGAAGTCGTTTAGAATCGCTTGTCGTGGTCGGTATTCGATATCGGATTGTGCTGTCGGTGCCCATTTGAAGCACACAAACAGCTAGCGTCATCGTCGGCGTGGATAACTTGGACGGGACGCGTACGCGCAAAACGTTTAACGCTATAGCACAAGTGGTTCGCTCGGATACGGTTAGCCGGGACGTACCAGAAACAGAAGGAGCGGAGCATATTTTGACGTTGACGTATCTAAAGTCAAATTCAATTTACGCGCCGGCCTATTATAAACGTAATTATAATGAGGCACTGGCTATTAAAATAGAACGAACAAACGTAGCGACCCCCTCAGAGTCTCACAGTGTACTATTTTAATTAAGTGTGTTGCAACAACAACAAGAACAACAACAACAACAGCAGCAAAGAGCAAAGAGAGCCATGGCAGTCACGCATGTGTAAAAGTATCTGAGAACGTGTGCGCTATGTGTGTGTGTGTGTGCGAGTGTGTGCATATGTGTATGTGTTTGTGCCGTTTCATCCATCCATTAGTCACACATGAAACTAATTAGCATTTCGGCTGTTTGTTATTGTCGCATTTGCTGGCCAAAAGAATTAGCGCGCCGAACAACGTCAAGCAGCATTCATTTAGCAATATATTTACTTATGCATATGGCCTATACAGGCCTACATACATACCATATAGGATTATATGTGTGCATACATACATATATATATATATATATATATATATTTATACAATATATATATATATCGGACTGTCTGGGTTTTATGTGATTTTTGCTTGGCATTTTCATTAATTTGTTGATATTGTGCTGCGTTCGCTGGCCGCCGGCAATCAGCAATGAAATTTATAAGACGGCGACAACAATTTCTGTGCTCAATTATCATCATCATCAACAATAACAACGACAACGTGCGGCAACAACAATAAGCACTTGTGCTCACGGCGCTAATTGCTGCCGTGTGGCGTCTGTGTATCTGACAGATACACAGTCGCACTTGAAGCTGCTCTATTGTTGTGCGCTTGAACTGTGTTGCCCACTTACTACATTTGGTGTGTTTTCTTTTTTGAGTATTTTCGCACGCTCCGACGGCAACGACAACGGCAACGGCAAAGTCGACCAATTTGTCAATTGGCGCGCTGACAGGTTACGCAGCCGCACTGTTGTCCCATCTCGGGTCCGGCAATTGCTTTTCGAAGCTGGCCATAAATAAGTTATGAGCGTGTGCAAAAATGGAATTTTTAATTTTCACAAAAATATTTCAATTACCCAATTAAATTCTGTTTTGGCCTAGGTGTTATATATAAACCATTTATATACATGCATGTGTGTGTGCTTGCGTGTGTGTTGTGTGTGTGTTGTGTGTATGCGTGTCGCAAATTGAAGTACGCTTTATTGCCGGTGCCCCGGCCGTGTGTTCATTTCATATTAATTACCCGTCGCTTCTGCTGTTGTTATTATTGCTGTGTGCGCATGTTAATAACAACTTAAAAATAAATAACTATTTTCTTTTTTTTTTGCCTACAAATATGTAAATATGTAAAAATGCAGAAATTGCTTTTTATTCCAAAAGTTCAAGTTTTAATTGTCGGAACGTGCACAACGTTAACAAAAGTAAACAATTAAATAAACACAATTAATTTCAAATTGGCAAGCAAAACATTGAAAGCCAGTTAAACAGCCAAGCAATTTCTGTGTGACCTGCATATACCTTACCCCCCCTACACCCATCCGACTACTTACCCCTGCCAGCTCGCTGTCAAGTGTCCAAAATGCGGCTATTAAAAACAATAAAGCAAATCGTTTTTATTTCTTCCAATCAATTTTTGTTCGTTCTTATTGTTTAAACGCGAAACGAATTGCGAATGTGTTCATAATTCGAGTAATTCATTTAGATAAGAGCAAACAGCAATATTTTAATTATAATAGATATGCCAGAAACTATTAAGTTCCTTAGTTGAACTTCAAGAGTTGAGATTCAAGAGGAAAACGGCAAGAAACAATATAATTCTCGTAAACTGCGAGCTATTTCATCCGTTAGTAAATAATTTCTATACTTTTTGATTAATTAAGTTATTTCAAGGTTTCGATTGTCATTTAATTTGATTTATTTAATTCGACATAAACGAATTTACTTAAAATTTCTAGCGTTTTTTCCGATCTTTTCTAGTCTTTCACTCAATAAGCAATTAGGTGCGTTTGCTTAGACAAATGCCAGATGAAAATATAATAAATAACGCACAACACATAATATAAATGTTAAGTGAATGCCAAATTTAATTTGTAGCCGAATTTAAATGCAGCTGACAGTTTAATTAAAAATTAAAAACCAGACTGAGACAAATAGGAAAGACTACGTTGTTGCAAATTGTTCAGTTGCCCATTGTGCGCAAATAATGAAATGCATTTAATTGAATCACAAACATTACCCAGTGCCAGACAATGGGCTGGCAATTATGAAACCAGAACACATTCAAATATAATTAAAAATTAAATAAATGGTTAACGTGCTGGCAATAACAAATCGTGTAACTAATGCAGCAAAGCAAATGAAATGCATTCAAATTAATTTTCCAAAAATAAAATGTACAAAACTGTCGCTGAAAAAGGCAAAACCATAATCAATAATTGTCAACTGGCTGGCTAATGAATTAATTACATTTCAGTGTCCTTCTCTCTCCCTCACTCTCACACTTTCTCTCTCTCTCTTCATTCAATTGTTGCCTTTCGTATTTCATTTCGTCAGTTTTTTAATTATAATGATCAGACATTTATATTTTTTATACTCGTTTTTTTTTTGCGGCGGCATAGCATTTTAATTAAGTAAAGTGGATTAATTTGCGACTCGTTAGACTAATTAAGGATTATCGCCAACAGCAACAGCGACGCAAAAGGTTTTAGTGAAAACTCGCCTATCAAAAGGATATGTGAAACAGCGACGACAACAAAACGTGACCTTTCAAAACAAAGCTATTAATAGCTAGAAAAAAATAAAATACAAAAACAAAAGACAAAAAAAATAAAAAATAATCAAACTGCCCACAAGGAAAAACATTTAATTGGATTTCAGTTTCGCCTTGGCTTTTCGGATACAATTAACCGTTTGGCGCTGAGGTAAGTGACATTGTCAAGTTAGTCAATCAATTTTGTGTTTACAAATTGATTACCTATAGTTGGGGGGTTTTTTCAAAGCCTATCAATCTGTGACCAGTTTTAAATACGTGTTAACTGACGGGTCAAACACGCTTAGGCGTTTCAACGGCCTGATAACGAATCAACATAAACAATATGACACGGCACATGTCCTTATCAGTACCCAGAATTCGAAACACTTTTATAATCAGCTCCAGTACATAACATACTAATGGCATCTTTACCTGGTAACGTGCACGGGATCAGATCTCTCACACACTGTAGAGAAATGCCAAATTTGCAATCAACTAACCTAATTTGAAATCAATTTCAATTAATCACAGTATAAGCAACAACTTAGTAAACGTTGTCTTATCATGCTATAAATGCAATATAAAAATAAAATCAAATTTGAATTCGCAAGTCGAACCTACTATCTACCTGAAAACAGCACATATCAGATATGGTTAGATAAATGCAATGGTTGGGCCTAGTTTATTATATATTTTTGTATATTTTAGTATTTCATCTTCAATATGGATAGACTTAAGTCAGTTTGCATCATTGACAACACTAAGAGTCAGGTTGTAGAAAGATAGTATCAAATATATTATTTAATAGATACTTAAGTCGAATTGCAGAGAAATTTAAGATTTGGTTGAGTTTCCACTGTTCTACTGTTAAATGTTGCAGAATTCCATACCATGAGGTTGACATGTTACTTAGTTAAATACAAGCAACTGCTTCTTGTTGATCTTAGCTAATTAACTGCAGTTAACCTGACCACCATACCAGTTCACACAACTTACGTCAGCCACATCACACATGTACACACGCAAACACACACCCACACACAGGTATTTTAAACGTGAATCGCTAATTGCGAATTAGCAATCAGAAACGCAGGAAAACTACTGTAACTATTACAAAAGTAAACAAAACAGCAATGTAAACAACAACTGCATAAGAAAGAGGTGTCCTTGAGCAGAGAGACTTCTACTATAATTCACTTAATTGGTCTTGACAAAAAATAATTCAATGAAAGTCAAAGAAAATTTGTAATTTAAGCCAAGCGGCGGCATATATAGACTGATAGATACATTTGTAGATACGCCGACCAGGCGGCCACATACAATAAAATTACCCATGACAACTCACAGCTCATATCATGTGAGATAACCGACATTAACTAGTCTCGTTTCCCTGTCTCTCTCTCTCTCTCACTCTCTCTCTCTCTATGCCATTTGCTCTTTCAATTTCTTTATCTCAAGCTGTTTTTGTATCTACATCAAGACATGCCAGGCTATTTAGCAAAACGGTTCTGATTCTTGCGAAACGCTTTGGTGTTATTCCAACCTTATCGCTGGGGCTTTAAATACAAAATACCATACGTATTATGCATAATTAAAAGGCATTTCCAATTTCATTCACAGCTACCGGCAATAGATACTCGCACATTCTCAAGCTCATATTCACGTTGATAAACAAGCGCTCGTCTGACGCGCTGATGTTTATCGCATAACTGGTTCTCATTACACTCTTAAATTAATTAAATTGTTACTGAAACTGCTTTGTGATATACGACTGGCTGCTGATTGACTGATTGACTGACTGACTGAGTGATTGACGGACCGACTGACCGCCAAACTGGTCAGTCTGCATTGCCGCGAACTGTGCTAACAAACTCTATTGATGGCATTTAAATACCGCCGCCGATTACGCAAAATGCAAAAACATTTGGCGTCTCGTGTTACCATATTTTAGCCCCAACTTCGCGCTAATAGTGCAAATAAACAAATAATAAATAACAAATATAAAACAAAGGCGCAAATCACAAATCAGAAGCATATGTTTAATAAACGCGCTGCGAGTTTAAAAGAAAACCGCATGCGATGCTTCAAATTGCTGGCTATGAATGGTGCAGGAGAGCGAAGGGGGGCTTAGCTTGTTGAGCGTCGACGGGGGGGCGGAACGTGTGGCCGTAGAACAGGCAGTAAATTAGCACAAAGCGCCGTTGACAGAAAATGTAAGGCAAATACTAGCAAAAAGTAAACGAACAGGGAAAAGGAAAAACAACCCAAATACATTGCAGCAATTATGCGAATGGCAGAAACTACAAAAACTGAAGAGCTGTAGAGCAGAGCGAGAATTGTCGAGAATCGGGCACAGAGCTCCTCCAGGTCGGGTGCCAACTGTGACCGGGGGGATGGGGGGCACGGCAACGTACGCATATGTTAATAATTAACTAGATTGAAAAGCTCACAATAATAAAGAGAGAGCTGAAAGAGCTTAAAGTTTATCCAGATTAAAACATGTGGTAGACAAGTTAAGTAGGAGCTTGCTAACAGATTTTTTTGCTAATTGCTAATTAGATATTGGCCAATGAAAATAAGTTACTTTGACAATTGAGTTAGATTACGTTGAAACGTCTGGCGTTTTAAGCTGCAGTTAGGGGGTAGGACAAGTCGCATGCGAAGTTCCTAAAATAGACAACGGAAAATAATTCGCTTAAGATCCATTTAGTCAGCCCAACTAGAACTTTTTAAATACAATCTGAATATATTTCGAATATCTACCGTTTTTTTTTTTTTAAATTGGAACAATAGGCTTTACTGGAAGATCTTGGTACTGGTCTTTAGCGAGTTAGCACCTTGTCTAAATCGGTGAAGGATCAAAAAGGATTACATTCGTTGTCTTAATAAAATCTAGAATACTTCTGGGCATTATCCCACCTTTCGATTCAGTCTCAATAAGTTCGATTTTGGCAATCAGCGTGTGCTTATCGACGAATAATTACTCTAAGTTACATTATATTTATTTGAAACAACATAATTAAACGCAGATGCGGGTTCAATATTGTTGGCAGTAATTTAATTTAAATTTTCAAAGCAGCCTACATGAATTGAAAAGCAATTAAGCAAAGGCGCAGAAGCTTGAAGGCAGCAGATTTTTATGATTGTAGTCTATGATGAGTCACGCAATGAAACGAGCTATTTATGATATGACAATAATTAGCTATACTAGCACGCGTCTACGTAATAGTTAAGAGGCTAAGTACTTAATTGAGTATGGGGCAAGCATTTGATGGTTTTAGCTCATTCCACATGAGCAACAACAAGTTGTGTGTGTTGAAGGGGCGCAGCTCGGAGCCGGCATATGCATATGAGGGCAGACCATTAGCTGTTTTTCTAATCAAAACGGAATTCCGAGAAATCGCAGCACACATACAAAGGGACAGCGCAGCCAGCACTCAATCAACTCAGACACAAATATACTTATATTACTTTGACTGAGACGGAGAGGCACAGTCAGTCAGTTGATTGGTGCCGTCAGTCACTCAGTCATTAAGTCAGTCACTTAAGCGGGCAATCGACGCAGTTGTTGCCCGTTGAAAAATGAAACTAATTAGCGGCCACAGTGCCAAACGTCGTTGCCAGCGTCGCTGCTTACAGCACGCCCATTTCCATTCCAATCAATTGGAAAATTTGCATTTAGCCAGGCATTGGCAACTGCAACAGCAACAGCAAATGCAACATCAACTGCAAACGACAAACGACAAACGGCAGCTGTAACAAGTCCATTTCAGAGTCGGTAAAAGCAAATTAGAGCGCAGCATGACAAAAAGCAATCCAACAAGCACGAATACAAGTATCTGAGTAGCGTTATTCGATGTATCTTGTAGCTGTTGCAGCTGAATGTGCTGTGCGTATAATTATTAATTGCGAGTGTGTGTGTGTGTGGTGTATGTGTGGGTACGTCTGTATGTGTGTACTATAATAACACAGCCAATTTTGGCTTTATCATAAGAGCAAACAAGTTTCCATTGCGGCCAATATGCAGTCATGCGGCTTCCGTACTGCGCTGCTAAAATGTTATTTTAATTGAATCATTTTAGCTATAAAATCACACACATACACACACACACACACACACACATGCACGCACTCACAATCGCCATTGCTTTCAAAAAGAGATAAAAATATGCATAAGCACATAAATACGATTGATATATACATTCATATACATATATGCATACTGTCTGCCAGTCAGACATCAAATTGAATAAACGCGGTCCATTACTCTCCCAGTGATTTTGCCAAATGACTTCATTTCATATCAATTAAGTTTATTGTGTGTATCTGTATCTGTGTATATATATACATGTTTATGTATTTGTATTTTGTGTTTGCGAATGCAAGCCGGAGTGTTTGTATGAGTTTTTTTTATATTAAAGCGGCATGGTCACAAAAAAAGCCCGTCAAGCACACACACACACACTCACACAAAGAAACTATGGCAAACACTCTCGTATTGCCCTGCCTTTGCCCATGGAACGAACCTGAACCTGATTCATGCGCTTAATTGCTTTGGAGCGTGCGACTCTGTCGCTGACTCTGCCACTGCGCTGCCGCAGCAGAGCAACAAAAAGGTATGAAATCGAATTGTGTGCACAAAAGTTATAAATGTTGCCGGTCTCCTACGTGCAGCGGCGGCTTTCAATAAAAACGACAACAATAATTTTTGACGCAGCCTCGACAAAAAACGAAGCACAAAATACAACCACATAAAATATGCTGTGGATGTGGAACGCGTCAATATAGAGCTGCCTCTCGCTTCAAATGGGGCAACACAAATGAAATGGCAGAAGCGAAATTGAAAAATTCCGTAATGGCATCAAAAACATATTTTCAGTTTTGCTGGAATAAAATATTCACAGATACAAATGAGAGCTATAAACACTATTTACGATTAGCTGGGTAACAGGATCTTTGATGTAAATGCCACTAAAGCTACTGTGATAAAGTATTTTTCGTGCATATATTAACCAATTTTCAAATGTATTGTTTTCAAATGAAGCTAATTAAAAGTTTATGGCTTACAAAAATAGATATAAATCTTTTTTCAGCCACCCACTTGCTTAATATAGCATAAGCCAAGAGCTTAACTAGTTTATCTAGTTAACTAAACAGAACAACATTAGG